ACACCACCACACACACACACCACACACACCATACACACACACCACACACACACCACACACATACACACCACACACACACCACACACACACAAACCATACACACATACACACCACCACACCACACACACATACCACCACCACACACCACACACACACCACCACCACACACCACACACATACCACCACCACACACCACACACACACACACACACACACACCACCACCACTACACATACAAGTACGTGCACAAATAAATAAATAAATGAGTCTTTAAAAAAAACAATTATTACTTTGTGATTTTAAAAAAAGTAATAAGAAATAAGTTTTCAGTGGTTTGGAGGAAATAGAAGAAAATTTCAATAGGACCCATAGGCCCCGCCTCAGGGGACACAGTAACTGGGCATGACTCAGCCTTCTTCGCAGAAAACAGTAATGTGTTTAAGGATTCAGGGCTTTTATTTCTGCAAAGATGCAGATGTACTTCTTGCCCTCTGTCCCACTAAGAACATCTGGACACCACAGGCACTAGGCAGAAAGCAGTCACCAGAACACTCTGCAGGAGAGCAATGAAGAGAGGCTAGGGCCTGGCCCCAACAGGGCTGGTACAGCACTGGCTTCTCTTGCTATTTTCATATACACAAGACTTGCATGGACCTTGTGTTCCTTACTAAAGAACGCAAATGAACACAGGCAATGAGAATTGACTTTCTTTGGCCCAGGACCAGGAAAGAGACTTGGTAGAAAGAGACAAACTTAGACCATCTCTGACTGTCTCAAGCCAAATATTACAGGAAAAACAAAACATCTGTCTCTTATCCTGACCAGTAAAGATAAAATGGAAACAATCTAGACTCCCACTTTGCCAGGCTATAGAAGGCTTCTAACATCTTTGCCAGATTGGAGTCAGAGTGGACCAAGTAGCGATCAGGCCCTTCCAGTTCTGCTGAATGGCAACATTCCCACCCTCCCAGAAGGATCAGGGTGCTGCTTGTCACTTCCCATACCAGGTATCAGAAGAAGCCCTGGGAGAGGCAGAGGTGATGAGGTCACATCCCATTGCTTCAGTGTCAGAGAGGGACACAAGACCAACAGTAACAGGTATACCATCCTCCCAACTAGGGCCATATCAGAAAAAGCCAAATGGGGAGCCAGAAACCTTGCTTCTCCCACAAATCCCACCCCGATCAGAGGCCTCCATCAGAGAAGACTCTGTTGGCAGTGAGCAGTAGAGACTCATTACTAGTCAAATGCTGAAGCTGTTGAGTTTTCAGGCCAAACCAGGTGTGATGGTTTGTACATACTTGGCCCAGGGAGTGGCACTATTAGGAGGTATGGCCTTGTTGGAATAGGTGTGTCACTGTGGGTGTGGGCTTAAGACCCTCATCCTAGCTGCCTGGAAGTCAGTATTCTGCTAACAGCCTACAGATGAAGATGTAGAACTCACAGCTCCTCCTGTATCATGCCTGCCTTGACACTGCCATGCTCCCACCTTGATGATAATGGACCAAATCTCTGAGCCTGTAAGCCAGCCCCAATTAAATATTGTCCTTATAAGAGTTGCTTTGGTCATGGTGTCTGTTCACAGCAGTAAAACCCTAACTAAGACTCCGAGACATCTATAACATCCCCTCCAAGGCTGAGAGAGACGCAAAGAGCACAAGAGCCAGAGGATGGAGGAGCGTTGTGAAATGATGTCTTCTAGACATGACATGGCCATTGCACACATGAACTCACATCAGCCATAGCTACCTGCACACGACTGGGGCCACTGATGTTCCACTGTGAGTGGCGAAGAACCTATAGAGCTCCACTCCTACCTGAAGAACAGTGAGTAGTTAGTGCTTGGTATAGGAGGGAACGTCATAGTCCTTGGTGGTACAGCCACTAGTAAGTTGCCCTTGTTCAGGTAGTCTCCCACCATTCTCATGTGGACAACACTAGTTAACTGCAGAGGGGCACACATAAGAAAAAGACATAAGGATCTGGGGGAGATGGCTCAGTGGGCAAAGAAAACATGCTAGGAAAGCAAGAGGTTCTGAGAAGTCTCCTGGACCCACACAGAATCCATGCCTGTCCACCTGGACCTGTAATCCCAACACTAGGGCCTGGAGACAGGCAATTCCCAGAACTCACTAGCCAGTCAGCAGAAAGGACAAGCTCCTAGCTCAGTGAGAGACTCTGACTCAAAACATAAGTGAGGAAGAGTCGTAAAGGAAGATACCAACTGTCCTCCTCTGGCCTCAGCATGTACAAGCATGGACACACAAAACTCCCCTACATGTGTGTAACACACACTCACACACACACATGCACAGACACACACACATGCATGCACACACACATATATACACACATAGACACTCATGCACACATGTGCACACACACACACATATATATACCATGAAAGTAGGACAAAGGGCTTGTTAGGAAGAAGGGGTTCAGTAGGGAGGGGATAAGAGAGAATAAAGGGAGACACAATTAAAGCAGTGTGTGCATGTGTGTGCATGCATGTGTGTGAGCATGTGTGTGAGTATGTGTGAAAGTGTATAATTGTGAGTGAAAGAATAAATTAAAAATTTAATATTAATGGATGGATTCAACAGCTGAATAGAGAAACTAGAGAAGAAGAAAAACAAATCAGTGATCATAGAAATACAGAAATTACCCCATCCTGAATATCAGAGACATAATGGACTGAATTTTTAAATTATTATTATTATTATTATTATTATTATTATTATTATTTTACACATTCACTTCACATCCTACTCACTGTCCCCCTCCCAGTTCCCTCTCCTCAACCCCTCCCCTCCTCTCCCTAGGTATCCCTCCACCCTAGCACATCAAGTCTCTGTGAAACTAGATGCATCCTCTCCCACTGAGGCCAGAGAAGATAGCCCAGCTTGTAGAACATATCTCACTCTCACATACAGGCAACAGCTTTTGGAATAGCCCACACTCCAGTTGTGTGGGATGAAGATCAAGCTGCACATCTGTTACATATGTGCAGGAAGGCCTAGGTCTAGCCTGTGTAGGTTCCAGGTTAGTTGACTCTGCTGGCCTTCCTGTGGAGTTCCTATCCCCTTAGGGGATGCAGTCCTTCCTCCTATTCTTCCATAAGAGTCCCCAAGCTCCATCCACTGTTTGGTTGTGGGTGTCTGCATCTGTCTGAGTCAGCTGGTGGGTGGAGCCTCTCAGAGGACAGCCATGCTACACTCCTGTCTGCAAGCATAACAGAGTATTATTAACAATGTCAGGGATCAGTGCTTGCCCATGGGATGGGTCTCAAGTTGGGCAGGTTATTGGTTGACAGATTAAGAACAAAGCCATGAGTAAAATCAGTCACCAGTTCCATTCATCTTGAGGTTTCTAAAATACATTGGATGGTATGTACAGAATTATAGCACTGTCTCATGTGGTTCTGAATGTATTTAGAGGACAATTTTAAGGAAATTGTATTACAAGTGAAGGAGGTAAAAGTCTATAAAAAGAAATAAGTTTCTATATTCCACTTGAACTGCTCATCCTAAATTAGACTAGATTATAAAAAGTTAAGTAAATGTAAGATAACATCTTCAGCAACCACTAAGAGATCTAGCAAAGAGATTGGTTCACACTGGATAAGTCAATGTTATGTTAAACATGTCCTGGTAGCTCACAGGAACATAAAGAAAATATAAAAATACTGAATATGGCTGGGGCATATTCAGTTGATAGAGTACTTGCCTAGCATGCATAATATTCCAGGTTTGAGTTATAGCATCACAAAAAAAAGTGTGTGATAATTTATGCCTGGAAACTCAGTACTTAAGAAGTAAAGGCTGGGGGAGTAGAAGTTCAAGGTTGCCCGTAGCCTCATAACAAGTTCAAAACTATCCTGGAATACATGAGAACCTAATTCAAAAGTACTAAATAAAATAAAATAAAATAAAATAAAATAAAATAAAATGACATATTTAAGGCCTAACACACCATTATTTACATTACATATAAAAGGTCTGCATGCCAAGCTTAATAGTGATTCTCAGAGTGTATTTTAAAAATATGACTCCATCCTACGCTGTCTTAGCTCTAATGATATTAAGATATAGATTATGAGTTTAAAAATGAAAACTATGTGTCACATAAACTTTAATCAAAAGAAAGTGGGGGGAGGCATAGGAATGCCTGATAAATACATTTCAGAGCAAAGACAAGCAAAGAAAGTGCAAGAAAATATGCACATTGATTTAAATGTGATTCCACCGGGAAGACAGTGATTTTTAACAATCATACACCAAACAACTGAGCTGACAAATACCAGAATTCAAAACCAACAGAACTTGGAAGACGTAGGCAAATACACATTTGTTTGTATGGCAGGAAACTTTAATAGTCTCCCCCTTCAACAACTGATAGAACAACTAGAAAGGAAATCAGTAAGACTATAGACACCAACATCTCTACATAGACTATCTAGTCATGGCCAAATAGGTTAGGTAACAAATATCAAGACTGACTGGGCCATCAAGCAAAATCACAAATCTCCAAAAGGGTCATAAATTCACACATGACATTTTACCCCTGCTGTGATTTAAATGTGGTTTTCTTCTCTTGTTCCACCCTTACCACCACCTCTGGCTCCATGGGCATGAAGCTTGGTCCCCAGTGTTACAGTATGGCCTTAGAAGATAGTATTGTAGTTCTCATGGTATCTTGGTTATTTCTCTAGAGAGGGTCACTACATAAAAGAATAGAATAGTCACTCTGACTTCCTGTCTTCACATGTAGATCCTCTCATGAGTCCTCCTGCCCATGACCTTACCTGCCATGACATCCTGTAGTCAGGGTAGGACCTTCATGATCCTGAAGGCTTTGTGCCTTCAAAACCATGAGATAAATAAACCTCTTTTCTTTATGAAGAACCAAGCCTTGGGTATTTCATTAAAATATCAGAAAACTGGCAAATACAGTCACAAAGAGTAACACTCAGTCTTCATGTACTCTTTCAGAGATGTCATTGCCATGACTGCTTAGGCATAGACACATCATGCCTCTGTGCCTCACAGATCCTTTCAGAACACTGACCATTGCCACTCTTGGCACTGAATCCTTCATACCTTCAGCTTCTTCATAGTTCCCTTTTCAAAGCAGTGTGTCTGGAGAGGCCTCACTGAAATGTCCTGAATCTCCCAACCCTCTCCCCTCTAAGGGGGCTAAGATTGGGTCTCTATTGAGAAATTAAGACTCTAAAGAGAACATCCAAAACATCTTTTGCCTACTAGAGAGCCTATGCCAGCTCTCCATACACACAACAGACCCATCCACTGACCTCCTAAGCACTTTCAGTGGAAGGCTTCAGTTACCCTTAAGAACCAGGCTTGGTTTTCTATCTTCCCCTGAGTACCACCCTAGCCCAGGACTCACTTCTCACACATAAGAACTCTTGACTGCAATAAGTCACCAGTTAACATGAGCTCTGAGAGTTCCACACTATCATACCTGATGATCTTGCTAGAGTGAATTCTTATCTTCAGGTCAGGTTGTTTTTCACTAGAAATGAATCAAAGTCGGGCACAGGACCAGCTCCCTCAGGAAGAGCAAGTGAGGACAGGTGGAACACACACACACACATACACACACACACACGCATGCCCTCATGTGATAGCTGTTCCCAGCAACCTGAAGTGGAAAGATGGATGAATTACTCACACACTGAAAGGAGCTTCAGAATATGCAAACGGCCCAACACTTGGAGGGTCAAAAATGAAGGAAAAGAGATGTCACATGGGAAGATGGTCACCAGCTTCAGTGCCATGTTGGCTTGGCTAGGATTCTGGCTCAGTCACTTTTTACTGTGAATGTTTGTGAGAGCTGCTCTTTCCACATTCAACTTGTTGAAACCATAATAAAAGGACAACAACGCCAGAGTTGTGAGGATTCTCCACCTACCCACTCCAGGATTTCAGTGTGACTCTCAGAGGCAAAGTCTGAGGACACAGAAACAGCTTGAAGAGCAGGGTACAGAATGGAGAATCACAGGAGACTCAGCTCCTGCAGAGGAAGGGGAAGGATGTTAGAATCTCAAGAGTCCAGCTGAGCAAGCAGGTCAGAGCCAAGTTCAACAAAGACAAAGGCCACGATCATCTAACAATAAAAAAGCCAGACTCATTTTAAAACCCCATACACCAAGAACAAAAATATAGTGGCAGGTGAATGATTCTAGGTGAGCCCTCCCATGGAGCATCACCACAGAGAAGCTATCAGCAGAATATTAGGTTAAGGACATGAAGACCACAGCACTAGCTTCCCTCAGGCCCACCAGACAACAGTATAGTTCACATCCAAACTCTTCCATGACCATCTATGTGACCTTAGGCAAATTGCTTGACCGATCTGTGTCATAGTTACCTAGCAGAGAAATGGGGAGAGTTTGGGCTTGGCTGAATAGGAGCATTGTAGGAATTAAATGTGATAGTATCTCTGGGATTCTTGCAACACTATTCAGAGCACAGAACTCAGTGTCCACTGGGCATTAGCTACCATCACAGTTATTACAAATATTAACATTGGTGCCCTTCTCCAGTGGCTGCCAAGGAAACCACCTAAGAAACAATCATTTCTAATTTTCGTGGGGCACAGAGAATAAGAGTAAAATGCATCAAGATGTGAAGAAAAAAAGAACCAAAACATAAAGGTGAGTGTACTCGTCAGGGTCAACAGGACCCTGACATGGCTACCAACTTCAGAAGAGACTCGAACATCGGAAGAGGCTGGAAGGCCACTGTGTACACTGCTCCTGGAGAGGCTTGAAGGCCACTGTCTACGATGCTCCTGGATCTGCACTATCATTTCCAACATGGGCAATATTTCAATCCTATATTTCAGATTCATTTTGCCCATGCACATAAAAGATGCTCTCAATCCTAGCACATATTTGGTCCCCAGAACTATTGGGGTGGTTTCTTTCCCTTATGCTGCCTGCAAAACTCAACTCTAGCTTCCATAGTGTGGTTCTGTGTGCATCGAAAGTACTATAAGTCTCCCTTAGTGCCTACAAGCACTTTTCCCTATTCCATACTGAATCCTAAACAATATTCAATTAGAGGTAACAGCAATACAGCACTGACCTCTCAGTATGGAAAGCCTGAACCCAGGGTCTGGCTCCTGCCATGGCTGTCTGCATTCCTTTCTCTGCTCGTCAGTTCTCTCATTTATAAGGGATAATCATTTATATATACTTTTCTACTTTAGTTCTATGGATTAAATTACACAAAACTAGCTTCGATTTAGCACGCAGCACGTAGTGAAGGACCAACGCGCTATGGTTGCCGTGTCACTGAAAGCTTACAGCAAACCTACCTCTTAAGCCTTTCAGCCTGAAACTAAAGCCCAGAGAGGTCATTCCACCAACTCAACATCTCCCAGCTATACCCCACAGTGCCCTTTGCCAAATAAACAGGTGTCAGCCTGCTGGAGAAGCTTTGGCTGCTTCTTGGGGAGAGGAAAAACAGCAGGCCTCAGCCCTGACTGCAGCTCTCCTTCTCCAAGAGTCTGAGAAATGCCTGGCTCACAGGAAGCCCTGTACACAATGTGGAGCCACTTCTGCTCTGGGCCTCGGTGCCCTGCTTCACTCTCGGGTCCTCGACTAGGCCAATTTCACAAGCAGATTGTTGGCAGGCCCCATGGTCTCTGTTACTAGAGACTGAATGGCCAGTGAAAGGGATCCATTGTCTGGCCTCTGAAAGAAGAATACCCCATTTAGAGAAAGAATTTGCCAGGTTTCTCACAGAGAAAGAAGACAGACGCAGTGGAGAAAGAACAATGCTGACCATTCACCAGATTTTTACTTAACATCAAAGCCCAGTGACCAACCAGGTTAAGGGCCACACAGCACAGAGCAAGCCAAGGCCACACTGGTATGCAGAAAGAGAAACTTTGGAGGAAGAGTTGCCCCAACCCTGTCACAGTCCACCTCAGCCAACTTAACATCTGGAGAAAATGAGAGGAGACAGGCTCAGGATTCTACCATCAGTCTCGGGAGAACGTCAGATCCTCTGGTCTTCTGTAGTTAGCTGGTTCTCAAGATGTGCCTGTGCATGAAAATAGGCTGGGTGTCTGACAATACTGACAGTGGGGTCTTGTTGCCAGGATTCTGATTTCATGGGAACAGACCACAGTCTAGGCACTGGGACTGTTTCAAAATTCATCAGGTGATTTTAAGGTGTAGCCAAGACAGAGAGGCACTGAGGCCAGGGGGTAAGAACTGGGTTTCGTCCACAGCTACATCCAGAACTGAGCACTGATGTCTGCGTGTATTTGACACCAGTAAATACTGGAGGAGTTTGTGGACTGTCCCGAGACAGTCCAGCAGCCCCAGCCCCTAACCCTAACCCTAACCCACGGCAACTGTTTATGTTTTTATTATCTACTGGAACTGGGCAAACGGTTTCAGGGTTTTGTTTTGTTTTCTTTTCTTTTAAGATTTGTCTCCTTTAAAGCCTTTTTTTAAAAACCACTGAACCATAAGGCTTCTAAAAATTCTTTCCAACTTAAAAAGCACCGATTCCAAGATCATAAATCCCTTCTGGCTCTTTGAGAGCCATGGTGTTTCTCTGATAAATAATCAGGACCAGCAAGTTCTAGGAAGGGCTCTGAAGACTGCTCACAAGCCAAAGACTTCACTCATATGTTTAACCCCACCTTGAGTCCTGGGCTGAGGTCTCTGCTTAGCTTTCCAGGCTCCCAGAATGCCATGTGCTTCTCTCTATCAAGCTGTCACCAACTCCTTAGCAAACTCAACCATTCCCCAAGTTCCTGCTGCTTTTGATAAGCTAGTAGCTTCCAAGTCATTAGGTCTATCTCTTGAATTTCATACTCTGCCATCTAACTTCCAGCTGAGAATCTCACCTTGATTTCCCTTAGGCACCTCAAATTCACACTGTCCTAGAAATGAACTCATTACCTCTCCACACCCAAACCTGCTCCTCCTCCCCACTCCTCTCCTCCCCTCCACTCCCTATCCGGATGAGCAGCATCACAGCCACTCAGTTGCCCAAGCTGGGAAACTCCAGAAGCATCTTTGACCTCTCCCTCGACTCAAGCCCCACCCTCTAGTAGCCTCTCAAGCACTCTTAGTTTCATCTTTTTCTTTTCTGTTCTAGATTCTCTAGTAGAGAGAATCTAAAAATTGGGTCTAAAGATTGTCTCAGGAAATCAAGTTTGTGTCCTTTAGCAAAACAGTAAGATAGTTCACTAGGTGACACATGCTCCCCTACCTCAAGTTATTCCCGGAACCTTCCTCATGCCCGTCTTTCAGAGGGCATTGGCAGTGTGGAATGTTGACAGCTCCTGACCCAATGCCTAGACATAACAGAGTTTTTCTGCCCTTGGTTCAAATACCTTCCCCTTCTCTATGTGGCTGCTGTCTGTTTATTCTTCACTATTCACACAACTCAAGGTTTTAAGTCTCACTCCCTTGTAGCGCATGCTTGATCAAGGAACTTCTCACACAATAAATAGCATTTGTTGTACCCTTGACACTTTCCTAAGCATCTAGCATCTTGTAACTTATTGACTGTCCACTAAAAGCATGTATTTGGATACCTTGTCATCTGAAACACCCTTTGACCCTTAAAAACCCTTTGACCATATTTTTAATTGAGGACTCTTAAAACAAAACCTTACTCCCAAACTGTTGTACCAAAAATGAGAGTCTCAGGGCTTGAGAGATTGCTCAGTGGTTACAGCTCTTCTCAATCTTTAGTTCCCAACATGAGAATTAGATGTCTCATAATTGCCTGTAACTCCAGCTTTGGAGAATCAGACACCCTTTTTCTGGCCTCTGAAGGCACTGCATTCATGTGCATAAATGTATACACTGACACATATACACACATAATTGAAAAAATTTTTTAATTTTTGAGAAAAATAGAAACTGATCACAGATGCTGGAGGGAACAGAGTTCTTTTGTCAATGGTTCTCCAAGCATAACCTTCAGGAGAAGAGGAAAGATTTCCTGCTCTTCCAAAGAAGAGGTATTACAAAGCAGCATCTAAAGATACCATGTAGTTATCAACTAGTGGTAGTAGCAGTAGCAGTAGCAGTAGCACTAGCAGTAGCAGTAGCAGTAGCAGTAGCAGTAGCAGTAGCAGTAGCAGTAGCAGTAGTTGACTGACAACATGGCTTTCCCACCCAGTGCACTTAGAAAAACCCAGAACCGTGTTTAACCCAGCAGATTTAGTATAGCATCTTAATAAATGAAGAGCACCATGTTACTGCCAGATACCTGCAGCTTATTCAGCGAAACATCCAATAGGCTCAATGTCTTCTGTCCCTAAACAGTCTACAAAATATAATTTCACATATCAGCATCAGGGCTTTCCTCTGGTAGGTCAGTATTAGAATGGGTGAGAATGACCTTTGTTGACTAGTTTTCTAGGTTCTAGCCAAAGGCACACTTGAGCACTTATCCTTCACCTTGTGACAGTTCTGTTCCCTGCACCATGACAGGTCGAGTGACATTACTGTTTTCACTGTCCTCATTGCCAACACCTTCTCCCCTACCCCTTCTATCAGCTTTCAAATTAGCCTTGGTTTAAAGGGATGGGGGGAACCTGCTGAATTACACCTAAAGTTAAACAAAAAAGCTGGGCTGATGGTGCAAGGCATAGCTCCTCAGCTGCTTGAGAGGCTGAGGCAGGAAGATTAAACCTAGAAACCTACCTGGACTATGAAGTGTTCAGTGTCAACCTGGGCAAATTAGTGAGACTATGTTCCAAAGTTAAAGGAAAAAAAAGAGAACAGAGGATATTGCTCAGTGGTAGAGCTCTTGCTTAGAATGTGCAAAGCCTTCATATTGGGGAGGGGAAACTTTCCTCTTAATGGAATGACTGTTCTATATGGCATGAAAATTTGTAGCTCACTATAGGGCTCTTAAAAAGTCTCTTCACATTTTCTTCATTCATTTAACACTTAATAAGCTCTTATTATATTTCAAAAGACCTAGGCTGCCTGCTGAGACCAAAAGATGGAGAAACATGGTCCCCATCCTCAAGGTACTGCAATTATAAAGAAATAGTGGCACTACTCTTATTTGATGGCCCTCGATGATGGCATCCACCAAGCACACTGTTAAACTTTAGATGTCTCCCTAATGCAGTATTTCTACCTTAACAGAAAAGATACCTATATACATTTATTCCCTGAAGTACACTCCATCCCAATGAACAAAGTGTGTCCCTGGTTTCTCCTATACTTATGGAGAAGAAGTGGGTAGGAAGAGTTAGGTCCTGGGGCATGAACAACTGAATCAGCAAACCAGATGCTTACATCTTATCAGAGCAATGGAAACAT